AGGACCGCCCCTGCCCGGGGGAGGAGGGCGGGTGGCGGGGACGTGTGGGTGGCTCCCAGCGCCCAGCCCGGTCCTAACTGAGCACCGTGTTTCTTAGTCTGCAGCAAGGCAGGTTTTTTGAAGAGTGTCAGAAGGCTGGGAGAGGAGTAAGCCACAGAGAGCCCCCTTAGTCGGTGAGCAGTGGAATTCAGTAAGTTTCCCTTGGTTCGATTTCCCTGTCTCTGTGCTCAGAATAATACCACTGCTGTCACAGCTCGTGCTGTTTTGTGGGAAAATTCCACAAAATCTGTATTTCTGCTCCTTGTTTTAAAAGGACCACTTCACTTTGTGGCCTAGCCCTGTAAAAATAATGGCAGGTGCTCCTCAATGTTGCTATTCATTTGAGGGAGTTAATGATCACCTTTACTATCACTTTTTTCTCCACCTACTCTCCCATGCAGACAAGAAAGTAAACATAGTAGTGAAACAGATTTCTGCCAAAATAATAAATGAAGTGGAAAAGAAGGATTCAGACATACGTATTTTATTTAGAGATTTATTGCATGAGAATAGGATGAATATTAGTGCTGTACAAGACAAAGAGTGTGAATAAAAAGTTGGGAAACAATGGTGGACAAGAGAAAGCTTTGCCTTAGGCAACCAGGAACAATATGAGAGTAAATAGCTACACCAATTCAATTCTTATTCAAGCTATAACATAAATAAAAAAGAGGCTGTTTCCCCTCTCTGATAGGAAATAGGAGTAAGCTGTCCTGCTGTGGAATCTTAATTTTATATTTTCAGGATGACAATCCTATTCGTTCATTTGTGATAAAAGATACTCAGCAGTGTACAGTTACTGCAGATTAGGAGACTTTCACTGGTCCCCTGACACATGTACTTTACGATCACAAGGGTGAAAGACGGATGATGAGGGAAAAATACATTAAGGCTCATGTAACTGCCAAGCTCTAACCAGAATCTGAGCTAAGTCTAGTTGTAATTTATGGTTCTTGACCTAGACAAGTAATTACGCATGTATGAACTTAATATGAACATAAATGAACAGTCCCATCTTGCAGCCTGTCCTTGATCATCAATTACTCTTTTGTCTGGATTGTATTAGAGTGTCAGGTATCCAGTAGAATTAGTATCAACTAGAATTACAAAGAGGTGCAGCACTTCTGTTTTTTAATTCATTTCCTTTTTATGTATGATACAATCTACATTTTAAACCAGATTCTTAAGGTGAAAACATTTTATATTAAGACAGTCTTTTGTTTGTTGGGCAAAGAAATAGCTCTAGAGACCAGGTCTAAAACTGATTAGAAAATTTTCTGTCAAGATAGGTTTTATGGTTACTGGTGTCTGCTGCAGACCCAAAGCAAATACAAAATAAATCAAATGGCCAGATTTCTATCTTTTGGTATGCTCTGGGTAAAAATCAGTTATAGATGGAATGTTTTTAGTAATTTTTTAAATATCTATGACACAGACAACTAATTAATTCTGGGCAGTGTAGTTTCTACACAGTGCTAGTACTACTACACTTTTCAAAGTTTTTTTTTCTGTCTGTCTGTTTTTCAAGTGGCTTCTCAGAGCTTTGAGGATTTCCCTGCTGACAAGCAAGACCTCCCACCTCCTCCCATTCCCTCTGCTTAGAGAACTTCTCATGCTTTACAAAACTGCTGATAGCATCAGGTTGCTACCTCTCCTGCTGCGCTAGCCAGCACCATCTCATTGTTGCATACTCTCTGTGTGATTATAGCTGCGTGCTGTTCTCTGTGTGATAAGTTTTGTAGGAATGTATTTGTTAGTTGTATAATGCTGCACAGTACAGATTTGGGCTCAGGCATTGACATTTTAAGTCTTAGTATAACACATTCCTATTAAAAGCAATAATAAATTTGGAAACTGCCAGTATTTTCTACAGGAGCTCAAAGAAACTGTTTCTTGCTTACAGTTAAAGTATGTGCTTTGTGGTTTAATGAATTAACTGGTTACTCAATGCTATTTTTAAATTCAGTGTGTTTTATAGGGTGGAGCACTGAATTTACATTTCAGTGAGATGTAACTTCATTATAGCATAGTTACATTAAGTTTTTGCAGGTGATCTCTGTGCTCCGCTTCTGCTCCAAGAGTAGAAGAGACTGTTATGAATATTTTTTTACTTTCTTTTAGATTCTGTTCATGCTGATCTTTTTCCAAGACGAAACAGATTCTCTTGTCATCTGGCTCAGAGAATGGTGCCCCATCTTAATGTGCCTCAAAATCTTCAGGGCTTATCCCCTGCAGGTCAGCTCTCCCTAGTGCACTGGCCACACCAATGTGAGGTCATCAGGGACAGAATTGAACACATTGGTAAGTTGTGTGTCATGCTTGAAATCTTGCAATGGGCAAAGAGGATGCACACCTGCAATGTAAAAGTAAAGCCAAGAATTTATTCTTGGTGTAATTGAAATTCTAAGAGTCATTATTAGACCATATCTAATTCTTATAGAAAGAAAAAGAATAATAATGCAGTTAAAGTTGTCATACAAATGCTTTACTTGCACCGTTTTCCTGGTGTTGTGCTCGTCCCTGCACTGCTTCTCCAAGTCCTAGGGTTGATCACTTTAATCTGATTGTGAGAGGAGTTGTCAGCACCTGGAGTCCTTTGCTGGGAGGAATATGATATTTGTATTGGTGATTTTTCTTCCTCATTTTACAATCCTCTCAAGGTCATTTTTATATATTTCCTGACATGCTTTTATACCTTCTCTTTCTTAATCAGTCTGCAACTCCATTTTACCTCTTACTATATATGTTGCCCTTTGCATATGTTAAATGCAATTTCCCTGTTCACTTCTTGTCCGACCAGTTTTGTCCAGCTCCAGGTGCATTTCTTTGAATGACCATGGATGAGTTGCTTAAAACCATGGGGTCACTAACGCCGCATCTGTGCCCCATCTCTTGTCATCCCCTGCCTGTGCAGAGCTTAGGGACAGGCAGTTGTTGAAACCCCCCATCTCATCTCAAGTCTCTCCCTTGGTATGTGCTGACATACAAAGTAAATTTTTATCTAATTGTCATATGAATCTCTCCCAGCTCTACTGTCAAAATGACCTGGACAGGTACTAAAATTTTGAACACGTTTTCTCTTTTTCTGCATAAAGCACCAAACTAACCAAGCCTGCCAATTGTGTTGGTTATGCAGTTCTGAGGACATTCTCCAAACTATTTGAAACAAAAAGGAGCCTCCTCATCCTTTATCTGGAGTTAAATAGGATGAATTGCTAAATTTTCAATGTCTCCTCTGTTTCACAACCAGCCAAATAAAATCTCCCTGCTTGTACTCCTTTTGTATGTCTCTTCTTTGTTTTTTTTTTATTATTTTTTTAGATTGGACACCCCCTAGGCCTGAGCCATTGTACACTCCAACAGGTTTGGAAATGAAGCCATCATACCAGGCTGCCGGCGAGGGCACTGTGATTTATCTGACAGAAGAAGGTGGGAGTGCTCTGAGAAATGTTGCTGTCAGTGGGGTGTAGCTCCTTTGTAAGCCTAATTCAAAACCTATGGAAATCAACAGGATCTGGGTATAAATCCTTTTCTTAGAAAAGGAATTCAGTTATGCAGCTGTACTTTCATCCGTTCATTCTGCTCATACTATTAATTATCTCAGAAGTTCACATCAAGCCATTGTTCTCAGTGAATAGCAGTGTGAATCACCCTGATCGAGTGTGTTATGAAATTTGTTATGAGTGCAGAAAGATTACTTAACATCAAAAGAGAAAGTGAAAAAGTTTTGATCTTGCAGTTATGCAGTTCTAATCTAAAGTTTGTTTTGGGAGAAAATGTTTTTTTCCTGTTTCCTATAGTGTTTTTTGTTTGTTTGTTTTTTAAAAGCCTTGTGAACAAAACAAAATATGTCCAGATTGGATCAGTGCTTGATTGCAGGCTTCTAAGTCTGGGAAGGACTAATTGGATGGAACTGACAGGAGGTAGCCTCAGCCCTGTTTCACTAGCTGATTATCAGGGTTCTTTATACTAGTTTTGTTTTTTGAGCTGATGCAATTGCCTTGAATGAACTTGCTGATTTTGAGCCCTGGACCACTTGTAGATAGAGAAGAAAGAATGATTCAGTTTTACAATTCTAGGTTAACTGGATATGGCAACAAAATTTTCAAATTTGCAAAACCAAAGGGTTGCTGACCTTCTTGAAGTCATTACCGCACCTGGTAAAGGTTTGCAATATACTGCAAAGCGCTGGTATTCTTTGACATCGTGTTTATTTAGTTGTTCCCTTCTGCAATATGTGTTCACTATGTGCACACAAATTGCCATATCTCGTACATGGCACTTCCTCCCTTTAAATTAAGTGCTGCCTCTGGCCAAGAAAATGGTAAATGCTCAGTAGCTGGAGAAGAACCTCTGCCTTCTGCAGCTGTTTTGCTAATTTATTTGTCTGGCAAGCATAAAGGTAAGGAGAAACATTCCCAGCTTCCTGCTTCCCCCCACCCCTGGAAAGGAGGACAATGATTTCTGTTGCTGTCTGTTAGTTGATGTTCTTTAAATTTTGGCCTGTGTTACTGCCTGCATGGTCTTAGTCCTTTTTGTGGGCGCAGATGGAGATGAGAAGAAGCTTTGATTACTGCAGGATTCTACATTTTCATGGCAAAAGGCTTTGCCACTATAGTGAACAGAGAGAATGCCAATGAATATTAAAAAAAATACTGCCTTGTTTCTGTAAACAGAGGATCCTTGCCTCTTAAAATTAGACCAAAACAGAAAATCTGAAACCTAAATAATAATGCCGTGGGCAAGAGTAAGGTCTTGCTGATGGCAAATTCAAGAGTTCTGCTTTTTAATGTACTTCAGCAGTAAAGAACAGAGTAAAAGTTTGAGTTGTGCCGGATGAAGTCATCTCATCTGAGGAACGCAGAACAAGGTAGCAAGTCCAGATGGCTGTTGTGTTTGAGACTCTTATTCCTTTCCTTTAGACGAGAAGAATTGAATGTAGGGATTTAAAAATAAACTGACGGCAATAAGCATGTAATTTTCAAGTAGAAAATTTCATTTCATTAATGAGAAGACCCAAGAGAGCTAGGAACCTAGGGTCTTTCTGCCTAACATAGCTGTTTTGCGTAAATAGAGAATATGAATCACTCTATATATATATATATAGAGAGAGAGAGGCACATCCTAGACAGAATCAGATTGCCCTGGATCCTTAAAGTTCAGGAATGGACAGCAAAATCTTTATATAATTTCTTGGAAGTTTACCCAGGTTTTATTTGAAGCTCAGCTTTATGCATTTGTCCATTTCTTTCTAGAATTTCTTTCTAGGAAGTTCTAGAAGAATACTAATATTCCCTAAAATGACTCAGACCAACAAAAAAATCTCTGTTTTTTGTTTTGTTGTTGTTGTTTTGTTTTTCTACTAGCTAACAAAGATTCTGGTTTTGTGTATTCTCGAGTCAGAGGTCTCTCCCCTTCAAAGCAGATCCATGAGAATGGGGACAACACATTGATCTTTGAAGCACGCTTTGAAAGTGGGAATTTGCAGAAGGTGGTCAAAGTGTAAGTTTCTAATCTTTTCTTCTTTTATTAAGACACAGTTATTACCACTGGCCTGCCATTGGTTTGTGAGCATGATATTCTGGGTTTGTTTTCAGTCACACACTGGTTGAATGAATTTTGAAAATAGTTTCAAATAGTCTTCTCATTAAATAATCTGATAGCCATTGCATGTGGTTGAATGGTTTCTCCAGGTGATAATCTCCTATGCAAATACACACACCTTTAAGTCCTTCCTTTTAAACCATAGCGTGGAGAGCTTTCTCTTAAGTCTAAATTATTACTAAAAGTCCTAAGGAAGAGATCATTTGCCTTGTTGGCAGACTTGGTCCAATTTGCCATCATTTTCTGGCATGGTCTGGATTTGATTTGATGGTGTCAGTCTGCTGGATTTGTACCCGATTCCGCACAGAGTGTTTTTTCCTGACGGTCTGTATTATGTGGCGCTGCATCGTGCTGCAGTGCTAACCACTGTCACAACTGTTCCTTTTTGTTTTTCTTTTTCCCTGCCTGCCAGTAATGAATTTGAGTACCAGCTGACACTGCGCACTGACCTCTACACGAGCAAGTACACGCAGTGGTACTACTTCCAAGTGAGCAACACGCAGGCCGGGATGCCGTATCGCTTCACCATTGTCAACTTCACCAAGCCCAACAGCCTGTACAAGCGTGGCATGCGCCCTCTCCTGTACTCGGAAGCAGATGCCAAGAAACACAACGTTGGCTGGAGGAGGACGGGGAATGAAATTAAGTATTACAGGAACAGTGCAGGCCAAGGTGGACGGCAGTATTTCTCACTCACTTGGACATTCCAGTTCCCTCACAACAGAGATACCTGCTATTTTGCCCACTGCTATCCTTATACCTACTCCAACCTTCAGGACTATTTGGTGTCCATCTCTAAAGATCCGGTGAAGTCCAAATTCTGCAAGATCCACGTCTTGTGCCATTCATTGGCAAGAAACATAGTGTATGTTCTGACAATCACCAACCCCCATGAAGGTGACACAGAAGCAAAGAGGAAGGCTGTGATATTAACTGCGAGGGTTCATCCAGGGGAAACAAACAGTTCCTGGATAATGAAAGGCTTTCTGGATTACATTCTTGGCAATTCAGGCAACGCTCAAGTGCTCCGGGACAATTTTGTCTTCAAAGTGATACCAATGTTGAATCCAGATGGTGTGATTGTGGGAAATCACCGTTGCTCTTTAGCAGGGCAGGACTTGAACCGCAAATACAAATCTAACCTGAAAGAATTTTATCCTTCCATCTGGTATACCCGAAACATGATCAAAAGGTAACCTCATTTTCTTTTCATTTAATATAAGTGATTTTTTCTTTCCAGTGTTTCCATGTTAATGTGATCTGTATTGGTTTGGTATTATTTACATCTTTGCTCTGTACCCATACCCAGGCATTTCTGGCTGTTTTGTTCACATTGTGTTGGATTTCAGAGTGATGGCTTTTTTTTTTCCCCTATAGCATTGTGCACATTTTTGCTGTAATATATGTTCTCTTTCCTGGTTGAAAGTTTTAATTCCTAAGAAAGAGGTTTCTTCAGAACATTTTCAGCATATTTCTTCCCACTGCCAAGTTTCACTAATTAAAGTTCTAATTTGTCTTTCATTTTCTTCCTCTCTGGCCACGTCTTAGGATGCAGTTAGGTTCAAAATAGAACCCAGCTGTCCATTTGACAGGAAAAATTGTCAAGTTTGCTGCATGTTTTGCTACAAAAATGTTTGATTTCTGATGCAGTCACATAGCCATTAGCCATTAGTGTTTCGGGTTTAAAACCAAACTTTATCCTTCTCTCACAATAAACTATTGTGCAAGAAGCCAATGCAAGAATTAGTAGATTTAATTTTTCTGATGAGATGCCGGTTAGAACTTATTTTAAATAAGATCTGTGTTCCTTCAAATAAACATATTTGGCATGTAGACAGCATAAAGGAGATGAGCATTGTGCCTCTCTTCTTCTATGAGAATCCCTTTCTCTAGTTTATTATATGAAGAGAGCCTGGACTTCTGAGTACACTTTAATAACATCAATTATTTGTGCTGAATTGCTACAGTTCTTCAGACTCATGTTCTGCTGCTGTCAGTCAAGACAGATATGTTTATTGTTGCTTCCTATTGATTCCACCATGGATTTCCAGCTGCCACCCAGATGAAAGCTCCAGGATGACCTGCTCTGGTGCCATCACCTCCTCCCCATAAAACTGCTTTAACAGGAACTGGCCTTTAGAGAGGTGTGGGTAGCTAAATCCAAGCATGTCTACCAGAAGCTTTTCTTTACAAAGTTAGTTAAGTGACAGTACCCCGCAGAAACTTGACACACTGTAAAAAATAATGTCCCTGCCCTTAATAAGGAGGAGAATATGCACTCCATTATTCCGAGCTGCTTGTTTGTGCTTCATCTTATAAGTATAAAGCATGTGGGATTCAGCCTATGTACAACAGCAAAAGAGCTGTAGATAAAAGTGGGGTGTTTCAGCCCTACAACATGCTCTAGTATGCAGCTATACATTTGGATATATATAACAGCCTATGTTTTTTTATATTACAGAGTGATGGAGGAACGTGACATTATTCTGTATTGTGATTTCCATGGTCACAACAGAAAAAAGAACGTCTTTGTATATGGTTGTGAAAGAAAGCAACAAGCAAAAGCACCAACTTGGCATCCACGTGTCTTTCCACTCTTGTTGAGCAAGATCTGCCCAGATAAGGTAACAAGTAAAATTCCGGCTAGGAACTTCACCTAAAACTTCCAACTCCCACTAGGATCTTAATTTTCATTTATAGAAGTATCATATACACTGAAAAACTGCACTTTGTCCAGTAAAATAACATTTGGTTGGCTAAAACTACAGATTATGACAGTATGAAATACCTTGCCTTGAAGAATTTCAGCATTGCAAAATATATCATTAATATAAATTTATATCATGCTGAACTGCGACAAAAAGCATTTTTAAAGTTTTTTTTTAAGAATAAAAAATTGAAATATGAAAGTAAAACTGCATTTTGCTTTGACAACATAAACACCTAACATGGAATATTACATATAAATATGTTAGATATAGCTTTATAATACATTGTGAAAATGAAATAAAACCAAATGACTAAGGAAATAAGAAACTAAGGAAGAAAGTCAGAAAGTATTTCTCCAGGTTTAATAGTTTTGAAATGTTCTTGTTGAAAATTATGTCAAAAAATCCTTGTTTATTTAGGTTATTTTAATTGGAAAAGAAATATATTTCAGTAGGAAATAACTGCATTTAAACTATGCCATTTTCCAGCAAAATCTGACTTGAAAGAGCTGCTTTTAAACCAGAAGGGTTGTAAAGGCTCAACAGTAAACACATGCACCCACAAACTAATCTACTAGCACACTAATGCAGCTAATGCTATTATGTTCAGGTATCAGGGATAAGGTGGTTGTGAACTCCAGGTAGGTTACATTATCACACTGCTGATATATAAATTCATGAGAGAAGAGCTTTAAAGAGTTTTATTAAATATGTGTGTTAGTGTAAACCAGGTCTCGTGATAAGTCAGATGATCATTTTTCTGTATAGGCTTACTTAGTAAATAGACACCCGCAAAAAGTGTGGAAGTCGTTTTTAAAGTAAAATAAGCTTCTAATCAAAGAATTGTTGTTTTATATACATCTCCATTATACCAGTAATGGCAGAGATTACTATGAAGAATGTAGTACAATATTACAGTAAGGTAGCATGCAAAAATGTGCATTTGTTTACCTGATAGAAAGAGGCAGAAAACTTTCCAGGGTTAAAATAACATTATTGCTTCTTCATTTTACTGCAAAGGCTAACACTGTATGTCTCTTTTAAGTTCTCGTTCCCAGACTGCCGTTTCAGGGTACAAAAGAGTAAAGAAGGCACAGGCCGAGTTGTAATGTGGAAGATGGGGATCAGCAACAGCTACACTTTGGAAGCCTCTGTCTGTGGCTCTAAGTTGGGTGAGCGAGTTTTCCCATAGTTTTTTGGTAGGAATCATCAAACAAGACCTGTATTTATGTTTTTTCCAGGGAAAATGGTAGTTTGAGCCTCCATCTCTCTGTTGGTGTTCTGTCTTATTGAGTAGAAGTGAATGATGATCTAAAATGAGAGCTGATTTAAAAACAACCAACCAATCAGAAAAGACTAGGGCACTTGCCTAGTGACCTTTCAGGACACGGCTACTGTTATTACACATATATCATAGAAAGGCAGATAACGTATCAGTAGATGGCAAACTAAAAGCAGTAAGTGAAAATAGCTGTGTGAGGATCAGTTGTCTGGAAGAGAATGTAGCACCTCGGTGTGTGGGTGCGTGGTGAGACAGACCATTTCTGCTAAAAGTCATAATTAAATCCCTTTGAGTGGGTACATTTGTTCATATAGTCTGAACAACGATATGTAATATCATCTGCATGAAACTCTGGCAGTTACAGACCCGCCTAGCATTCTTCAATGAAATACGTGCAAGTTTGCAATCAACCACCATCCTGAACGTAGCATAGCTGGCGGTCAGCAATATGCCTGGCATTTTCATTTCTGATGCTGCAGGCCAGAGACGAAGCACCCACTTCAACACAAGAGACTTAGAGTCAGTAGGACACCATTTCTGTGATGCTCTCTTGGACTACTGTGTTCCCAATGTGAAGGTAAGGAAAGTCCCTCCCAGGCCTTTTTTGCTGCCTCAGTTGGTCTTACTGTGACAAAATATGATACTGTGCACAGTTAGAGTAATAATAAATTTGATAATGGCTTTCAGTAAAGCAGTAAATTACATGTATAATTACATGTATGGTGTTTCTTAGTATTATCTGTGCCTGAAGGAACACGAGGAAATGGTGAAACAGCAAGCTAAGGTGACCTCTGAGGGCCTGAATTCTGATGTGTTAGACAGGGATTCCAGGTAAGTTAGAACTATTAAGATATGCCACTTTTTTTTTAGTGTTACTAAAGATAGACCCTTAATATTTGCACTTCTATAAGATGGCCACATACAGATCTTATTATACAAACCTTAATAAGCCCTTAGTTGGGAATAGAGCTGTGTGTGTGCTCAAGCTGACCCTGTCCTTCAAAGGAAAGTCACGCGGTATTGAGTTCCATGGGCTCTTAAGGAGAGAGGAAACTGTACTGGTACAGAGCTTGGTCCAGTGCATCACTTAATCAGTATGCTCTTTTTCAGACTGACATTTTGCAGAGCAGTCTAGCTATGGTATAAGGTATATTGTTCTATATTTTTATATGTAATTTTATTAAGCAGGGATGGTGCTAGACTGATTCTGTTAAACCAACGGAGATGATTTCAAGGTAACTGAGAGCAGTGCAAGGGTCTGCACACTGTCAAACAGCACACTTCCCATTACAAACAATCAGCTCCTCCTGTGCCAGCTCTGACTGTGAGAGACAACAGAGAGAGATGGGCATTTATGTACTGTGAAAGGATTTGGACCCTAAAAACATTTCTCTGGGAATAAACTTTTGTGGAATTCTTTTGAAGGAAACATTAATGAGTTAGATGCATCTCATCTAAGTTCAGGTGCATAAAATATAGAAATCAACAGTTGAGCTTCACAATTGATGCTGATATGCAAGGAAATAAGGAGAGACACTATCTATCATAATGCATCAGAGAGCTCACAGAAGCTTTGCTCAGGGCAAAGAGAATGATGTTAATGAGAGGGTTTAAGAGGGGAGGGGGAGAATAAGTGAAGCAGAACTAAAAGAAAGCCATCTATAATCAGGAGATGGCATCTTCCAATAACGGGCATCAAAGGTCTATAGGTCTATAAAAATGTAGGTCTATAAAACTAAAACACAGATAAAACATACGTGTGGAAAACATATTTGCATCTCGGGTTACTACAGGGAATACCAGCTAATGGTTGCTATGAATTCAGAAAAAAAATACCTCTTTGCAGTCACCAAATTTGGAAGTAAAACAAAATAATGCTCATCTTTCGCAGCAGCCAAACTTCTGACAGCTCAGATTCCTGTGATCTTGTTGCACCCCAGCTAAATCTAGGTACTAAGGTATGCTATGCTTTTTTTTTCTTGACTGTTTACATCTCTTTCTGAATACTACTAGGAAAGAATGACTAGACTTTAGGAGGCTTTATTTTGAAGAAGTCTGGAGTTAAATGGGTCAGAATAGTAGTTAACAAATCAATGAAGTAACCGAGAACTGTAAATGATCTACATAGCCTGTAAACATACAGTCCAAATTTTCCCCCATACCTTCACCCAAAATTATCCAGAAGCTGGTGTTTTAGTCTGAAAAAACTCAGCTTTCCACTCAGTTATGTGGCAGATTTAGATCCCCAGAGCGAGGATGAAGACCACATCTTTTAGCACAGAAGTATAGTGCCTATTTAAACACAGTCAGATGTGTTTTGCAAATAGTGCAGTGTTCAGGAGGTGTGTTCTCCTCTCACACAGACAGACACATCGTGACAGTGATCCTAAGCGCTGTCAACAAAAGACTGATCCAGCCCCGTTGTCTTTTTGCAGCCTGGTAGGCAAATGTGACCCCAGATTATACAAAGTGCTTTCACTTTCACTTGAAAGCACTGGGACTTATTGTTAAAACATGTGTTTACTTGTTTTGCTAAACAGGAACAGATTGAATATTTTGGGGGAGGGGGAAGTGGAGGGGGATGTGTTTTTGTTGGCTTGATGTTTATTTCTTTGGTGCCTGGGATTGCCATAATAGCAATTGAGATGTTTCCTGCACATGAGCGAAAACAACTGTTGTGAGTGTATTTTAGAAAGCTTGTGAATGAATTTTAGCCAACAATAATAGTTCCTATAATTACTTCCTGTTTATGACATAAGTACTATAAATACACAAAAGTAAGAGGAGCTGTCGTACCAAAACAGAGGGGTGTAAAACTAGAGTGAGCAACTGAAGTGAGCACCTGTAATACTTCTGAGATCAAATGTAGATAGGCATTTCACATGGTTGGGGTGGTTGACAATTGGCATGATTTGGAGTTTTAGATCTAGTTTCAGCAATGAACTAGGTGGAAACAGGTTATTGCCGGATAAGCTCTGGTGAATTCCCTGGTGGTGAGGGAAGCTACCAGGGGCTTCTTTATGTGCTCTGCTCAGGCATGTGTCCCTGAGAGCACGCATTGGTGCAAAGTCCAGCAGCTCGGCTTAGTCTCACTGTCGTTCAGAGTTCAGGCAATGCTACCATGTTTGGTACTTGCAGGCAGATGTCCGGACAGTGTCTCCACTCAGCCAGTCCTCCTGGAGAAGGAATAATATCTGATGAAAGGGTTGCAATCGTGGTGGTGGTTTTTATTTAATGTTTACTACAGCTTGGCATTTCTTCATCTATTTTCTTTTGTGCTAAAGAACCAAGCAACATCACAGATTTTCTATTATTATTATTATTATTATTATTATTATTATATATTTTAGAGAATATCAACCTCAGTAGGTTGGACCAAAAATCTGTTTTGTGCTATAGAATGTCTAGTAGCAGAGGGCTAGTAAAGGAGACAGGGAAAGGATGAATATTGATTTTTTTAAATTGGTATGTGAATAGTAAACCAGTGTAGATACATTTCCCAGCACTGTATTTTAAAAGAGTTCATGAAAACCTCAGCCTGGTATGAATGAATAACGGACTCTGAAGTTAGCGACAGTTTCCAATTAGCACCAAGCGTTATGGTCACTTTGTACCTCTCAGCCCTTCGTGCTTTCTTGTCCAAGCTCCCCACATCACACAAGCAATACACCATGCATGTGAGGGTGAGACATGGGACTGGCAGCTCTAGGACTGGTAACTTGAGAATAGTTTAAAAAACCTGCCTGAAATGCTGAGCCCTTCCATTTGATTTGCTAAAAATAAACTTGTTTATGTTGAAAGACTCACATGCCTGTCAGTGGGACTGATTCTATTTTTTTTTCTGATGTTCATAGGCACAATTTTGTTTTAGTCTATAAGTGCTACAAAGAAAACAAAGAGTGCAAGTTTGCCTGATGTCTGTGATACAGCTGTAGGTTGAGCTGACTACCATATAACTAATGAGTTATGGTAAGGCAAGGGTGCCTGGTAGTCATTCCATGGATTGGGATGAAGGGTGACTTACCCACATGATGCTGGAACTGTGGAAACCTTTTGGATAATTGTGATTGCAGGGGATTTGTAGACTCAAAAAGCCTGGTGGACTTGCTAGGTAATAAACAACAGCAATAAAAACTGCAGAAATACCTTCATAGGAACACTTGAAAAACCATACAGAACTCACACGAGCATTTGGTAAGGCTCGATTACTTCATATGCATGCTGAACAGTGGATTCGAATATTCCCCGAATATTGACCCAAAGGACTCTTCACGTAATGTGATAAGCCATTTAATAGTTCCTTACCTGTAACCTTCCACTTTGTTTCTCTGCCACATTCCTTCTACTTCTCTCAGTCCCTTCTGTGACCCAATTTAATACAGTAATCTGAGAGCAAACAAACACAGGGGGGAAAAAAAGGCAGATTAGATCATCATCTGCTGGGTTAATGTGTTAAATCAGCTCATGGAAAATTTTATTGAGCATCAGAGCCAGCTTGAGAGATGTAGCAAAACACTGACTAAGGGAGGAGTGAGTCAAGTGGCAGGTTGGGGAGTGGAGAGGTGGAAGGACCAAGGCAAAGGAATGAAACTTTCTTCTTCAGCAGCAGGAAACCATTAGGAGATCTGAGCTGTAGGTGATTACTTCAACCTTTACATTGTTAAAGTTAATTCACTCTGCAAATTAGGCACTAATTTAAACTAACTTAATACAAAATAAAGAACTGGCTCCAGCAACAGGGAATTCTATGAGTGCAGAGCCCCCTCCATCACATGCCTGTGTTAGGAGGCGGTGAGCGTGTTTGGAATGAACAGGGCTTGGGCCATATAAAAGCTTGATTCTGTAAGGCTGTGCCTGAGCTTTACATTCTTCCAATACCACTATATGTTGCAAAACTTCCAGTTAAACAGAGCTTCCCTGTGACCTCTTCTGTAATTGCTGAAACATCTTCTAGGCAAGTAAACTGAGGAGTTTTTACTGTGTATGCAATAGGAACTAAACGTTATCAGACTGATACTGTTGTTATTTAAGGAAAGTTACAACAGGTTAACAAGAAAGTTTGAAAGAACAGCACAGCACAATTCCTGCAAGAAACTTCTTTCTTTTGTCCTTTTCGTGGGTACACGTGTTTTCTCTGTTACTTCAGTGACCATTTCAGATGATTAGATGAGAAGACTTACCAAAATTTCTGTTCTTTATAAACTTTCCACAGAAGTTCATAAAGGCCTTTGAAAAAGATGAATGGCAATAAATATAGCAGGTATAGGAGATATTTTGACAGAGATCTGTGCCAAAGCTGTTTGTAACCCTCAACTGCATTTTGTTCATGTTCAGCCTTGCATATGGCCTCCAGATGTAAAACAGGAGCACTACTGTCATTGCCTAGAGAAAGCAAAATGTAATTTTGAAAGAAAAAGTCATACTAATATTTTCATGGGTAATTCTTTTTATATACATGTCCACTATGATGCTGATTTATTAGTAGTTTAGTCGGTTCGATGGACAGACCACTGCTTCCCAGACTTCTTGTGTTGCGTGCCAATCTTTGTTTTCAGGAGCCTGCACATTGGGAAAACAGAGCAGTGGCAGTTCATACTACTGAGAAACCCTGGTTCTTCAGGTTCCCAGACTAAAAATAAACATCCCAAATCGAGTAGGAAATGAGGTCCCTCGTCAGTATGACATGTTTGTGTCCAGGTTCATAAATATTTGCTGAACAGAACAGTGTAAGAAATTCAATCTTGAGTGGTTTGTTGTTTGTTTGCATGTATTCCTTCTGGCATTACGATTATCATGTTTATTTACAACTCCTTTTCGTAACTGTGATATTCCCTCATGAACCAAAATGGTTATATACTTTTTTTTTTTTTTCTGAGCAGAACAAAACCAAAACATCAGGAGAAAATTTTCACAGGATTGCTAAGGAGCGAAGTTATGAAAGCAAAAATGTGAGCATTTTTCATCCCAGTAAAAACATGCTAACACAACATAAAGTGATATATGACAGCTTAATGCAACCCTGTACATTTGGAGGCTTCTTTTAAAATGAAAGTCCATGGGCAGGAACAAGCAGGGAAATTCTATCTATTTTAGCTCTTTCTGTGAAGGAATGGGCATTGGAGCTGGAGGTTATACCAGCTCCTCTTCTGAAACTACAAATACCTCACTCCCTCAGCTGGACCCATTTCTCTTTTAAGACTTCTCTCTTGAAGACTTTTGCCAAATCTATTAAAATATTTTCCATTGTGTTTTTCATTCAGAAGAGTATTGCAAAGAGCAGACAAAGGAGAAGGTCATGGGCTATTTTAGGGAAACGGGCATTAAATTTTCTAATTAATTTGGGCTTTCATTGCCAAGCTGTAGCTCTGAAATATTTTCACTGGCAATATTTGTAAAGTAAAGTCATATCCCTTCTTACCTTTTAGAGAATGTAATTTGGTGCTCAGCATTTATCGTCTGGCATAGCTACTAGCATTAGTTTTATTAAAGTGTCCTTGTCAGGATAGTTGGTATAATTGGTTTAAGATTTTTTTTTAAGACATCACTTCTCCGTTATTATTGTTCAGCATTTTCTTTAACTATTTAGAAAAAATATGTCCATGATGGCAAACACTAGAAAATCCAAGATGAAAACAATAGAGTCTAATATTATCTTTCTTTCTTGAAAAGGAATTTAAATATTTTTAAAATGCTGAGCACCCAAAAGCTTACATAGTCAACAGAAGTTGCTGAATTTTCAGACATTTGGGGAATGAGCCAAACATTGAACTCTTAGCTTGCCTCCTACTTTAAAATGCATATATAAATAAATAAATAATCAGCAGCACCTTTACACGTTATCCTTTTCCCATTTAAGCTAGTTATCCTTTACCAAGTTTCCCCTATCCTAACATAATTTACACATCTTGAATAAACTACAGAACACTAGTGGCTGCTGAATAATACCTTTTGTTCATTCAGTCTCCTGGAAATTAATAATATTAATAAGGTTTAAAATAATAAAAATATTTAAAATATTTTTCAAAATAATATTGCTTATATAATATTGTTTTAAATAATGTTGTTTTGTTTAATAATGTTTATGTTTAATAATATTTTTGTGTTTCTATTCTTTCTTGCAGACTCAAGGCATTGAAATGTTGCATCAGACATTTCAGGAACTTGATCCAGTAGGCAGAGGTAAATGTATCGTTTTTATATCTTATATGCCTTTTAATGCCCAATAAGCCTTCCTTTTTCTTTTTTTTTTTTTTTGTCCTGTAATCTCATACCCCAGTAAAAAGTGTATTCTAAAAAGATAATGATAAGAGTTCTTTGGCCGGGATTTCACTCAGTGTCAGTATTTGGAAGTGCTCCTTTTTCCTTAGTTTAAACTGTCTTCATCACATTGTTATACCTCTCTTGTTGGTAGCAGCCTTACTGAACCCAATTCAACCTCCAGCACAATACAAAAATAAATATTAGCTTGTATGGATTCTCTGAGAGAGAGAACCTGAGCTCATAACATGTTTTTTTAAATCTATGTAAAGATAATTAGAAGATTGTTCCTGTGTTTGCCTGTCCCTCCCCTTTCTCATTTTGGGTTTCATTTCAGTTTATGGTTTAAATGTTATTAATGAAATTCTGCATCAACAATATAGGCACTTGTTTGTACAGAATAAAAGCACCTCAAGATAAATTATATTTATGTCCAAGGGTCGTGCCTTCCCATAGATTGTCAGACTGTTTCATGTCACCTGCAGATCATGAAACTTGAACAATAAATTTTTTCCTCACACTGCTCATCCGATAAGGTATTCACCACACAGTGCTGAAGTCAGACACAGCTAATCTAGTCCACAGTCTGCCAGGAAACTGCTTCTGCTGGGTCACGATGGTAGAAAGATGTCAGGGGGCCAAGACTGCAGCAGCAATTTTGCAACTTAAGAATTGGTGGCCTTAGTGCCAGGAGCCCTGAATGTCGCACTTGGAATCCAAGTATTGAGAAACAAGGCACACGGATCATCTGCGATGTGAAGGGAACGATGAAGTAACAAGCAGTGACTCCCCCTTCCCCACCACAGATAATTATAACTGTAATTAACTTGTGTGGGACAGTCAGTGTCTGTATGCTTAAGTGGGTGTAAGTGCTATGACTGCTCAGGGCCTGCCTGCAAAAGTGAAAGGTAATAAGGAGCTTGAGTACTCACTCACAATATGATTTTTAAAAGATTTTCGCAGTCTTGGGAGATTTTCAAGCACTTCCTTTTCCAGCTGCAGCTGTTCCTACCTATTGTGTAGGATGCCCCAGGGTAAAAATGTAACAGATTACATTCTTCTTTCCTGGAATTGACTTGCTTAGAGGAAAAAAAAAATGAATCCTTTCTGACTAACTGCTCTTTATTACTTTGTTACGTGTTTTTAGACTTGATCTGGAATACTGTCCCCCAGTCTACAGAAAACTTTATATCCCCAAATCCTTTTCTTCCTCCTGCTGCACTTCAAAAAGCATGCCACGCAAGGGATAGGGGAGGAGTTAGAACAGTCTCTGCATGTCATCTTCTGAAAAGCGAGAGCAGGTCAAGGGAGAAGGAAGAAAAGGTCCAGCACAGAGGTAAGGACTGGGAGAAATTGCAGCTAAACAGTCCTGGAAAACTGCCCAGCATCTTTCAAGCAGAGATGATCATGCAGCTAGGAGTCTCCAGATCCTGTAGGTTATGAGAGTCTTAGCAGTGTGTGTAGTGAAGAAAGGTGCTATACATGTACCTGAAGGGAAATGATCTGTAGCCCAAAGTTTGCTCTGGCTCATGCACTTTTATCTCACCTGCTCTGGAATCCCTGTTCTGCTGCTGCCTCAGTGCAGCAACAAGAGCATTGTGTAGGCTGTCAGGCTCCTTCCAGATTCACTGTGTGCTTTACTCTTACATTGCTGCCCAATTCTTACCAAGCCGGCTCTCCTGGAGTGATTGCTGACAGCCAAGCTGCTCAGGAACACGTGTCTCCCCTCAAGGTCAATAAGCTGGCACTAGCTCACTGCGACTCTACAGAGCAAAGAGCGCACACAGAGCAGCCATGTGCATCATCTCCTGTAGTGGGAGTGTAGCTGTCTTCCTCACTAAGGCTTGGTGATCAGACTGCTTACCAGTAAGAGGGAAAGCTAAATGTTATTTCAGCCTCAGCCTAGGGGATTCCAACCTGTATTTTTCCACTTCCCCATGAAAGTCCTTAAGATTCAGACTCTTCAGTTCTGTATCTCTGTTCTTCTCTGATTGTCCAGTAAAGCATTTCCACTTGTTAAAATTGGCCAGGGAATCATGCAGTCCAAAAAGAGAAACACGGAAGGAGAAGAGAGAAGAGTACATGACTATAGTCTAAATCCATCCTTCACAGAGTAGTCCTTGATCTAATGATTGGGTTGTGTCTGGTGTGACTTCAATGTCAAACACAGTTGTGCTACATGAGGCAGAAACTAGGACTAAAAACAAACTCTTCAGCAGAGCTGCATTCCTACCAGAGCAAGCGAATCATGTTGCCTTTGGCACCTTCACTTGTTGACTACGGTTTTACCCATAGTAGAACAGTTTCTGTGGAAGCTGAGCAGTGTCACCATCCCAAAATACCCTTTGTTAGGCAATAGAAGAAGACGGGGAGATGGGAATGTGAATTTGAGTTTGCTAGATATAAGGTTAGCCTTAACACTCAGAACTAGCTGCTTTATATTTGTGTTAAAAGTATCTGAATAAGTGGGTTGATGTTCGGAGATGTCTACTTACTGTAACTCTAACCCACTTCAACCAAATATTGAGTCTGAACTAGCCAAGATAAAATTTGAGTGCTTCTTGTGTTGCTATTTTTTGAAGAGATCTGATGAGAACTTTTTTTTTTCTCCAGTAAAATTGCCAATTACAGCCTCTGTGAAGCAAGCAGGAGAGTGCTTAAGGTAGGGGAAAGTAGTATTATTTGAAATGCATCTAGACTTTTGCAAAAAGCAGGGATGAGAGGACCAGGCCGAGTTCCCAGCCTGATTTTTCAAAATCCACCCTCCTCTGTGTTCCTGTGACATTGTGTCTCATTCCCTTGCCCCTTGTGGAAACTGTAGTGCAAGCGAATGTTAGCAGGGCAGAAAACCCTTTTTTTCCATCCCATCTGGGGTGCCAGATCCCCTCCTTTAGTTCATACCCCTTCTTTCCATTGCTGACCTCCTAGGAGCAAGGAGGAAACAACAATTGCTGTTGCCTTAGGAGGGAAGGAGGAAATGGGGCAATACCACTACTAACAAACAGGGGTGTAGATCAGGGAACAAAGGATGTGCTGGGCTGACTTGCACAGGAGTCGGAAACAGGGCAGCTGCTAATTTTAGCAGATGGTTTGGTATCTACTACCACTGAAATCATAATGCCATCATGGTATTGGTGTCTAGCTCATTGCTACACACCAGTCCACTTCCAGGTTCTGTTCTGTGGCAGTGAAAACTGAAGGCTGTGCACTCTTATGGGTGTGCAAGACCCTGTGGCAATAACACTGCTGGGCAGTGTTGGTTGCTTTCCTAAATACTCACCTAGTGATAGGACAAATGCTCTGGTCTAGCCCAGTGCACTCTTGTCTGTTGCTAGGCACTTTGAGCAAAGTGGCTAGTTAATGTAACTGCAATGGATCCTGTCGCAAACACCTTATGAAATAAGATATATTAATTTCTTCACACAATATTAATTCGAGGACTACTGCTTTGCACCTTTAGCTCTGACACTGGTACTCAAATTGGAAAATCTTAGGCTTTCCTCTGAGGAAGAGAACTATATTTTATGTTTTTGTTTCATTTTAGGATGATAAGGTAAATCTCTGCTCTTTCCATCATGAGTGTTTCTGTCTGACTCAGAGGGGATATTGGTATAGTGGCTATATGATATTGGCACTAGTGTCCTTTAGGTAATGTGATGGCGTTGTGATTCTGTGTATTTTGAAGTAAAGAAAATTGCTTCTTATTTTTTCAAACTAAAATAGCAGGAATTTTAACTGTTGATGATGTTCTTTCTAGGCTGTCATCTTTATGTATATTTTGCCATGAATTTATGTAGAGATAAATTTCTTTTTGGCTTGACCTCTGTGTGTTTTAGCTCTAAGAGACTTGCCCATGGTGCTGAAAGTATTCGTGAAAATCCATCTGTGTCCCAGGAGCCAAAGAAAAGTGTGCCCCACACTGTAGTCCTAGCTACGAGAGAAAATTTTCATTCTTCCAGCTTTAATCTCATCTCCCAGAAGATAAAGAAATTGGAAGGCAAAAATATCTGCAACTCCTCGGAGAAGACATTTCATTATGCAAAAGGTTTCTTAGTTATTCTATCCTAGAATCAAATAGGACTTGGTGGGTTTCTTAGTCTAATATCATCAGTTACTGAAAGCCCTGAGACAGATGGTAACAAGATCAGTAATAGGGACAGGAAACTCCTACGTGCTGGGAAGTAGCTGACACTTTCTGGAGGGTATCAGAACAGATTTCCTAGAAGGTTCCAGCAGAGATGCTTGAGGTGCAAAAGCTTTTATACATCTTCATGCTGAGCATTCCACTGAAAAGGAATTGAAAAAAATCTCAGCCTAATGGAAAGGATAATGCCTCTGACCCTGTCCTGTTCTTCTCATGTTCCTGGTAGGAGATGCTCTGTCCATACAGAGACTCATACCTTTTCATATGTGTGTCAGCATACCATAAAAGGTTGTATAGTGTGATTCTGTGAACTCTTGGAAATAATCCTTTAATAAGGATCAATCCTTTAATAGAATATCATAATGCTGGAGCAATAGAACAAGGTCCTATGCCCAGGGCAGAAAGTTTTACACAGCAGTAAGGATCATAAATAATACCTTGGCGCTCCTACACTAAAGGAAATGCATGTTCCTGCCGTAATACCAGTTTCTTGTGAATGAAACCAAAACCTTGTACATTTTTAGCAGGTAGTAACATAGTAGTTGAAAGCAGATTTGTTTTTTCCTCCTTTTTGACTCAGGTCCTGACTCTAATGCAAAAAGCAGTTCAAGCAAGGAAGAAAGGAAAGTGAAGGAGAGACTCTCCTCAAAAGCCACAAGGCCCAGCAAAAACAAGACCACAACAGCAAACCAAGATGTAAATTTTAAGAAGAGTAATTCCTGTCAGGCTCAAAATGCATTGCAGTTCTTTCCGCCCTTATTGCCTGAAGCAAAGGACAAACAATCTGCTACAAAATATCAGGATTTATTTTGGAACTTCAGTTCTTCAAATAGTGAAGGCACCTGAAAAAGTGTCATATATGTGACTTGCATAAATTTGTGACTTGCCTTCTTAAGACTGGTTACAGATTATGTCTCTGCCATGAGCGTACAGGTAACCACAGAAACCAAAGATGTCTTGCTTTCTTTTCTGAGGAAAAAAATATAGAGTTCACACACAGTTGGGTAATGAGCACATAAAGTTTCTGTCAATACGTGAAGTACCCTGCCCTGCATTCTGAGCTAGTTTAGCTGCGAGTGTCTTCTCAATATAAAATATCATTTGTCTTAAACACCATGTGGGATTTTTTTTTTTTGAGGTGGAGGAGCAGGAGAGGGTGTGTTTTGGGGTTTTTTGTTTGTTAGGCAGAGTCCACTTTCAGAAAAAAAAAAAAAGAAAGAAGACTTGATTACCAGGGCTAAAACCACAAGTTGTCTCTCCAGTGCTGTTAATATCCCTATATTGTGCATATTCTGCCACAGAACCGTAGTGCATCATGGATTCTATTGCCTTCTGCTTGGAATAAGATTACCAATTTGAGATGCCCTATGAAAAGACTGATGAATGTTGCAAATAAATGGCCCTGCTGGAAATTTGCCAGCAGCACACACAAGCATGGAGGTTTAGAAATGCTTACAGTTGGTTATCAGGAGAGGAAGCGAGGGGGATCAATTAGGTGTCAGTTATAACCGACAGTATAACTCTTAACAGCTGTGATTTGCTGATTGATATTCCAAAACTGGAAAAAAAAAAAAACACTGCACATTTCCTAAATTATTTGTACAAAGGCCTCTTTTGTCCCTTTCTGCTTCATGTTTGTGCCAGGGCTCTGGGGGAGGGGAGGCCTTACTGATCAGCTGCACAAGGGCCCCTCTGCTCCTGCCCAGGAGCCCCATTATTTGAGCTCAGCCTTGGGCCTCTAGTCCCTGCCTGAGCCACCTGGACCACCTCATCCCAGATTCCTGTCTTTCTCAATGCTAGAGTTATTCCATGGCCGTTCAGGGAAGGGACTTCCCACTGCCACCTGGCTGGTGAGTCCGTCCACAGCCTTCTCTCAGGGCTTCCTTTCATATTTCCTTTTACCCACCTCATGTTCTTGGATCTGTGTGCTGTAGTATGGTGGAGGGGCTGTTTGTGTATTACAGGCTCACAGTGTGTGTACCACCTGGAGGTTTCCTGGCCTTGCCAGAAGTGGAATTACTAGGTGTGACTCTGAGCAGCTTCCTGGCTAGATTTCCTTTCACACACCTCACCTAACATCTGCTACTAAGGTTGCTAGTAGGACAGGACAGATGGTTCTGGGTCTGGCCAGGAAAGCTAAATAAAGGAGACTTGTCCCTTCCATCACACAAGGAAGGACATGTCAACTAGGGAAAGGCCTTCCTTTTCATCTCCTTCCTGGGAAAGGGCATTTCTCTGCCAAAGAGCTGGCAGCAGTGTTAGGTGCTTCAGTACTACATGGTGCCCAGGGGAGTGAAGTGGCAGGGTCTCATATGAGTCTGGGGTTTACTTCATCTTCCTGCCTCAGCTTAGCCTGGGACTCTCTCCTCTGGCCACTTACCAAAAAAAATAATAATTCATTTTTCATTTTAGGGCATTTAACTTTTCCACCTCTTCAAGAAAAAGCTGTGGAAAGTGCAGCCATCAAAGCATTCAACAGCCTGCATGCCACAGACAGCCACTGCATACACTCCCTTCAGTAACTACAGACAATAGCAGGACTAAAATATCTTTTCTTGTTGAACCTAGTGTTCATTTCTGCTCATTTGGCAGTGTGTCTAGTTGGAGGGCGGTGGTCAGTGGTGTCTCGCAGGGGTCAGCACTGGGCCCACCTGTTCAACTTATTCACTAATGGGGAGAGC